CCTCCTTCTCCTCCTCCTCCTTCTCTTCCTCCTCCTCCTCCTCCTTCTTCTCTTCTCTTCCTCCTCCTCCTCTTCCTCCTCCTCCTCGCTGGGCTCAGGGCGAGAAGTGGGCCCTGGGCAAGGGGGGTCGGGGCTTCCAGGGAGCCCGCGCGGGACAGCTCAAGGCATGCGGGAGATTCGTGCGGCATCGGCGCGCGCGCAGAGGTTTGAGACACCGTGTGGATTGTTCAACCTTGAACTGATCGCGGCCCCGATCGTTCGAGGCGGCCTTTTGTCGGGTCCAGAAGCGTTACCGTGCTCCTCAGTGCTTCCACGTCGTTCTGTCGTGCGGAGGTAAGCGTTGAACGCCTTCGCCAGCGTCGCCGGCGTGCCATTGCCGCGTGAACCAGCTGTAGGACGGTAAGGAGGAAACAAATAGTAGACACTCCCCCGCTCCCCCAAACTCAAAGTTGGCAGGCGCGGGGGGGACTGCGGTCGAAGTGCAACCCATCAGACCCACCGCCAACTTTGAACATTGGGGAGAGGGGGAGGCGTTGACCGAGTCATGTGGCATGCGTGTTCGCTATTTTTTCCGAGGCCTGGCTGTCGTCAGACCCACCGCCAACTTTGAACATTGGGGAGAGGGGGAGGCGTTGACCGAGTCATGTGGCATGCGTGTTCGCTATTTTTTTCCGAGGCCTGGATGTCGTCAGACCCACCGCCAACTTTGAACATTGGGGAGAGGGGGAGGCGTTGACCGATTCATGTGGCATGCGTGTTCGCTATTTTCTTTTCCGAGGCCTGGATATCGGAGTGCCAAGGCGCGGCGTCCCGCTCAGACACGCGGCCTGACCGGGCAGCCCGCCCGATTCGACCGAGCTCGCCCCCAGTCATCGGCGCCGCTCTCAAGCGGGGACGGGCGAATGACCTCGGCGGGGCGATTCCCACATCTGCCTCGTGAAGGCCACTCCAGCCATGAGCATGCGTCCTTGTCTTCACATGGTGATGTCCTGGGACTCGGGCAGTGGCCGTCTCTGGGACGTGGGAAATTACAAGGATGGTGGGATCTCGCCGAGACTCCCTGTGGACCATCGTTCTCGGAGAGGCTAACTCGGCGGTCCAGATCACTACAGAGGCTCGGCCCTTGAATTACCGAAGGCTCCACTGCAACTTGGATTCCTTTTACAATCGAATTGGGAATTACCGACCGCGGGAACACTACAGAGGGTTTGCTTTTCTGGCTCACTCTTGGTGATCCGCACTCAGGGCCAGCGGTGAGAGGAGTTCAGTCTGTGAATGGCTCATGATGCGCAGTAGTGCCAGCAATCGTGCAGGTAAGATGCGGATGTATGTTTATATAGTGAAGGTGTGAGAATACCAGTGTCTCCATGAGCTCTTGCGTTTGAGCTCAAGAGGGTATCGAGCCAAGTGCAAATGCACGTACACGAAGGGACGCACTTAGATGCACCCAGTATGAAATACGGCAATGATGCCAAGCGCCGCGTGCGACACCCCTGTTCCACTGCAGTTCCCTTCGCCAATCGGCTCCATGCGCTATGCAAAACATGCACGTACGCATGGCGCCAAGATGGAGACGCGGGGGGTGGAGGCGCACCAGCCGAAGGACACACCAAAGGGTCACCATCACAACCAGCACTGAGCCTCGCGCAGTGGCAACCAATGCACGGATGCGAGCCTGTCAGACCGAATGGTCTGAGCTCTGCAGGAAGGTACAAGACCTAAGACTGCGCCCGCTGGATCTGAGCTGCATGCCCGCTGCATCATCGGCGGCGAGCGAGGGGGGAAGTGAGAAGGTGAAGGCCCTCTCAGGAGGCGGCGGGACTTCTCTGGAGCCCTCGAGGCTTCCGATCAGGTTTTGTTGCGTCCCCGGGGAAGGCTCAGAAAACTTCTCAGATCGGGAGCGGCCAAGAGGGGGGTGTCCAAGAGGGGGGGGCGCAAATCATGACTGGCGGTATGTGAGCGGCCCAGGGGGGAACTTCTCAGATCGGGAGCGGCCAAGAGGGGGGTGTCCAAGAGGGGGGGGCGCAAATCATGACCGGCGGTATGTGAGCGGCCCAGGGGGGGGGGCCAGGGACGTAATGAAATAAGAAGAGGCACCATGAGATCTGGGGAAATATCATGGCCCCCGCCATGAGATTCCCCCCCTCCCTATAGTCATCACCCCCCTCTTGTCCGCACCCGATCAGAAGACCGGGGGGGCTTCCGAGCCTTCTGAGAAGGCCGGCCCTTTCTCGCTCCCCCCCGGGGCGCGCCACCGGTATCCGCAGGACGCCCGAAGACCAGCCACATCGCATTCTCCCGAGAGGGGGAGGAGGAGGAGGAGGAGGAGGAGGAGGAGGAGGAGGAGGAGGAGGAGGAGGAGGAGGAGGAGGAGGAGGAGGAGGAGGAGGAGGATGAGGGGAGGATAGGAGGAGGAGGAGGAGGAGGAGGAGGAGGAGGAGGAGGAGCGGTCAAGTTTTGAGCAGGGACCGACCGTCCCAGCATTCTGATCGTCCTACCACGAAATGTTCTTAGAACCCAGACATGTTCGAATAGCAAAAACGATGTTCTTAGAACATGAGCCCGATGTGACAAGACAAGACAGACTCCGCCGGAGATGTTCTCAGAACATTTCGTGGAAACCACAAAAGGTTCTTAGAACATTGTTTGGTAGGGCTATAGGCGAACTGGAACGCTTCGCCACTGCTTGATAAGCTTCCGCCCTCCGCCTCGGATGGCCGTGCTCGCAGCCCCAGGCTGCCGTGCGCGGAGCCCCGGCCCTTGGATGGACTTCGCTCCCGAAGAGGCGGCGCCTTGCGGTGATGCTCACCTGCAGCAGCTCCTTGATCCTCGCCGCGGTGCGCTCCTGAGCAGCAGCTCTTTGCTCCGACGGCCGCCAGGAGTCGGCGAGCCCGCACACATCACAACCATCCACTCCCCTGCCACTCTTTGTTTTCAATTTTCTACAGGGCTTCGCCCTCGTCGGGGATCTGCTAACCCGGGTCAATCAGACCCGGGTCAGCAGGAAACCGAAAAACTGCAATGCAGGAAAAAAAGCTGCATCGCAGGGCTTCGCGAACCTGGATCAGACAATACGCGCGGCCGCCTCGCGGCCACGAGCGGCTCGCTAACCCAGGTCAGCCAGAAGGAGTCTTCGCAGGATCCTGCAGGATCCGGTGCCCTGGCTGACCCCCGTTTGCATTGACCCTCGTCTCTGAAGATCCGACCTCGAGCTCACTCGTTGTTCCCGTGGCACCCTCCCCTCGTCCGACTTGTCCGACTCCTCCGTCCACCTCTCGTGCCGCCCCAGGTCTGGTCCCTGCTTCTCTCGTGCCCTCCCTCGCGAGGCGCGGCAGAGTGTGACCTCGCGGGCATGCGCGAGAAGTCTAAGGCGCCCCTGGTAACAGACCGCTCGGCCCGGAACCGCTTTTTGGAAGCTGGGCGAGGGCTGGCAAATCCGTGGCTGCTAAAACGGTCTTCCCGGAAGAGAAAAACCAATTCCCGGAATCAAGCTCAGCGCACTAATAAATAGTAAACGGGCCGCTTCCCAGAAGAGAAAAACAATCTCCCGGAGCTCCGCTTTAGCAGCCACGGGTTTGCCAGCCTTCGCCCGGCTTCTGAGCTTTGCTGAAGTGGACGGGTGGATCAGGTAATATCGGGTCGGGCGAAAGGGGGGGATAGCAAAGGGGGGGTTTGAGAATCAGCTCCCGTATCTGATTTTCCCGGCGCCTCCCGGCGACGGAGGCGCCCATTTATCGAGGAATGGGCCCCTCGGTGGGGCCGACACCAGCTGCATGCAGCAGATTTCGTAACCCCCCCTTTCCCAATCCCCCCCTTTCGCCCGACCCGGTAATACTGGACCACGTAGGACTTGCTTCACGCTGACTCCCGCGGGCAGCACCATACCCCCGCGCGTTCCCTCGGAGGAGCGGGGCGCGGTGCGAGGGGCGCATCACTGTCGAGAGAAGCCCGCAGGACATTGCGGGGGAGCGGGGGGAGCCCCCCCGGAGCTTCTGCGGAGGAGGCGAGTGGTGAACCAGAAGGGGATTGACCGTTTTTTTTCTATAAAAAAAACACTCGACGCTGATTAAGCAGTGAGCCTGTCAGCAGAGGTCGGCACGCCACTCGCAGAAGGTGAGTGAGATAACAGCTCTGCACGGGCACCGAGTGAGGCAAGTTCGGCACATCACGAATGGGCCCCCACATCAGAGCGGACGGGACGCGTCGAACCGAAGCAAGGCGTCCGTACCTCCCTTCCGAACGAAACCACCTAAATGGGGAGGGAGGGGATGGGGGGGGAGGCGTACCCCCCGACCTACAAGCATAGTGCCCGCCGCGGATCTCCCCCCCCCCCCGAGGCCTCTTGGCCGCCCCCAGAGACTCCCTGGGCCCGCTGTGCCCGAGACTGACTACCTACCAGACCACCCCAACCCAACCCGAAGACCCGAACTTCGGGTTGGGGGGGGTATGGGCTCCATACGTGTTTTTTCAATGTTCCCGGACCGCCCCCCACTGGAAATGGAGGGCAAAATGAGGCCTTCGGGTTGGGTTGGGGTGGTTTGGTGGGTGGTGAGAGACGGCCCGGCATCCCCGGCGGGGTCTCAAAGGAGGCCCCGAGTGGCCTCGGAGCCTCCCAGGGACGCCCCCGAGTGGCCCCAATCACGCGACCACCGTATGGTTTCACTTGAGCGTCGAAAAGCAACGGGTCTTGCGCGAGCTGGCGCAGCGACCTTACGCGGTGGCTTCCGCGGGCCACCAACGGGGCACACCGCACTGCGAGACGAGGGCGCTTGCGCGCGACCTGACGCGGGCAGCTTACGCGCCACCGTCGGCGCAGACGACCCCGTTTTCTTGCGTCGCTCACGTTGCCTCGGAGCCTCCCAAGGACGCCCCCAAGCGGCCCAAATCACTCGACCACCTTCTGTTGGCGGCGCGCAAAAAAGGGTAGGGGGAGGGGGGACAGGGCACCTTAGAAGGAGCCTGCTCCTTAGAAGGCGCCTGCCTGACATCTACAGACAAGGCCCGCGCCCTCGAAGAAGCAGGGGTGCTTCTAAGAAGCCGACCCCTCTCCCCCTCTCCCCCCTTCTGCGGGTGTCCGAATCTGGCTTCGCCTGTTCTGACCCTCCGCCCTTCTCGGTTCCGAGGGGCCCTGGCAGCCTCGAGGTGGCTCCGAGACCGTGTGAGAGAGCCCCACTCGAGGGAGCTGCAGCGGCCCCGAGGGCACCCCGAGAGGCCAGTGTCAGAGGAAGAAAATACACGGCATAAGCATAAGCTTTTGACACTCCGCGCGGATTTCTGGGATCTGCGCCAGACCCCCCCTCCCTGGCGCGCGGAGCGCGCCAGGGGCGGCGCCGGAGGCGCTGCTGGGGGGGGGGCCCAGCGCGGATCCAAGAAATCTGCGCGGAGCGCCGAACGTTGATGTTCATGGCGTTTGTTTTCTGCTGCGAATTGTCGGGCTCCCACGGGGCGAGGCGGATGCACGCGCCCCTTTTTGTTGGCGCGACGCCCCCCCAAAAAACAAACCCCAAGAGCCCCTCCCGAGGCCTTGGGGAAGAGGCCCAGGCCTCCAGAGCGGCCCCGGCCGCGCCCGCAGAGGACCCCGAGAAGAGATCTTCCGAGAGACTCCGAGGGCGAGCGCTCCGCGGCGACCTCTCCCGATGGCTCCCGGGTGCCTGATCCCGAGCTTGGAGCCCCTCCCAAGGCCTTCACGAGAGGTGCGGGCCTTCAGACCGGCCCCAACCAGGCCCGCAGATTTTTCCAAGAGATCTTCCAAGAGACTCAGAGATCGAACGATCCGCGACGGCCTTTCGGGTGGACTCCTGGGTATACCGCAGCCCGATCCCGAGCTTCGGTTTGACGGTCGCCGAAGTCTTTGTTCCTCTGCATGCTTCTGCGCTGTCCTGATCAAGGTCAATCGCCTGGGGATCGTTGCTGGATGGATGGGCTGGCGGGGATAAGCGAAGCGCCAACAATGTACAATGTCCCCGTCCGTCTCCTTTGCACAGGGCATTCTTGCACATGCACTGATCCAGGACTGGTGTTCCGGGGCGACCCGCGTCACTTCGGCCATCGCGTCATTGCCACACAGGCCGCAAGGCAAGCTTAAAAGGGAAGACGGGCGAGTTGAGGGTCAACGATAGGGGGATAGGCATAGGGGGGGGGGAAACATCGACCTGGAATCGGCGATACATCGCAGATAGATCAGCGATAGGCCGCCGATAGTGCATCCGCACGTTCCTGGGCAGGTTGGGGCTGTCGAGCCCTTACCGGCGATCAGTTGGCGATCGGGGGTCGATGTATCCCCCCCTATGCCTGTCCCCCCTTAACCGTTGCCACTGACGAGTGTTTTGAGCAGGGACCGACCGTCCCGGCATTCCTATAGTCCTACCACGAAATGTTCTTAGAACCCAAAAATGTTCTTATAACGAAAACAATGTTCTTAGAGCATAAACCCGATGTGTTAAAACAAGGCAATCTCAACCAGAAATGTTCTAAGAACATTTCGTGGAAACCACAAGAGGTTCTTAGAACATTGCTTGGTAGGGCTATAGCCGAGCCAGGACGCTTCGCCACTGCTTGAGTGTTGGGGAAACGGCCGCGCCGAGAGGGCCCACCGGGCCCCGGCTTGCCTGCCCCCCCCGCCTGCGGGGGACCCTCCAGCCGCGGCGGCTGGACGCGGGCACGGGACGGCCAGACCCTGAGCTAAGGGGGCCCCCAGGCCTCGAGCCCAGCCGCACGCAACAAAAAAAACTTGGCCTGCGGACTACCAACCAGACCACCCCAACCCAACCCGAAGACCCGAATTCCGGGTTGGGGGCCCCGGGGGGGTACTAGTTCCATACGTGTTTTTGTCGATGTTCTCCGACCCCCCCCCCCCACCGGAAATGGACCCCCCCCCCACACCGGAAATGGAGGGCAAGCTGGGGCCATCGGGTCGGGTTGGCGGCCCCACCCACCGACGAGGCCGCCTCTTGGGTGGCGCGATTCCCGGGGCGCACGGCGGTGCCAGCCGGCCGCCAGCCCACGATGCGGGCAGCTGCGCACGTGGCGCCTGGGTGCTCAGCTCCCCCTGGCGCTGTCGCTGCGGGCGGGTCCAGGCCGACCCCGCGTCGCCACTCGCTGATCCCTTCCACCCCAGCCAGCGCTGGGGCAGATAGGGGGCCACATGCGAACCCTACCCCCACCTCCCACGAGTTCTGGGGGGAGGGTGGGGTTCACTTCGCTCGGGAGCTCCCTAACGAAGTGAACCCCACCCTCCCCCTCGTAAATCGTGGGGGGTAGGGGTAGGGTTCGCATGTGGTCCCCTAGCAGAAGAAGAAGAAGCACCGGCACAAGCAGAAGCTGTCGGAGGTGCGCGCGGACTTTCCCGGATCGGAGCTGGGCCTCCTTCCCTGGCGCGCAGAGAGCGCCAGGGCGGCGCCAGAGGCGCCGCCAGGGGTGGCCAACGTCGATCCAAGAAATCCGCGCGGAGCTCGAACAAGTTGTGATAATATGTCTGGCTGTTCTTCTTCTTCGAAGGGGGGGAAGGTGAGCGGAGTCCTCCAGATTTGTGTCGGATCCCAATCTGGAACGTCTGGGGGTCGTACTGTCCTCTGTAGGGCTGAGCTTCTATGCTCATCTTTATGTGCGCGAGCTGTCGAAGCAATGTGTTGAGAAGGCAACTCACCATCGAATCGGCTATTGTCGCGACATGCAGAGGGCTTTGGCCGAATCAGCTCAGCAAAGCCGAACACAACCTTCGGGGCCGCCTGTAATCCTCGGAGCCGCGACGCGTACAGCCGAAGCGAGGCCACAAGAGCGTGGACCCAGCACATGGCCCCTGCGTCGAGAGCCAGAGGCCCCATGGATTATATCTATATACACGTATATACACAAGTATGTATGTATGTTTGTATGTACGTGCGTACGTACGGTACGGTATGGTATGGTATGGTATGGTATGGTATGGTATGGCATGGCATGGTATGGTATGGATGGTATGTATGTATGTATGTATGTACGTATGTATGTATGTATGTATGTATGTATGTATGTATATATGTATGTATGTATGTATGTATGTATGTATGTATGTATATATGTATGTATGTATGTATGTATGTATGTACATATGTATGCATGTATGTATGTATGTAGGTATGTATGTATGTATGTACGTACGAACGTATGTATGTATGTATGTATGTATGTATGTATGCGTGTATGTATGTATGTGTATGTATGTGTATGTATGTATGTATGTATGTATGTATGTATGTACGTATGCATGTATGCATGTATGATTGTTTGTTTGTTTGTTTGTTTGTTTGTTTGTTTGTATGCTTGTATGTATGTATTTATGTATGTATGTATGTCTGTGTGCATGCATGCATGTATGTATGTTTGTATGTACGTATGTGTATATATATATAGATATATATCCCAGAACGAAGAGCACTCCAAGGTGGAGAGCCCAGCGGCGAAAAACATGAAGGGCATCCCTCCAAAGCTCTTGATTGCTCAGAACCCTCGTGCCAGCCTCAGTCGGGCATGTCCCCCTATAGGCGGATCTTGGACGAAAGCTGAAAAATACCCAAACATACTCAAAAAATGGTCAAGAATAGTCAACAAAATCGTCCCCAGACTATTTCCTGACTACTTTTGAACATTCCTCCTGTGGAGGGGCAGGCCCGACTTCATGCCAGCCGCAGCCCGCTCCGGCTCCCGCTCCTCTGCAGGGCTGGGCTCCCCGCGCGCAGCGGGCCGGCACGGCTGGCCCTATCGCTCCCCACGCCGGCCCGCAGGAGAAGGAGGCCTGAGGAGGAGGATGAGGAGGAGGAGGAGGAGGAGGAGGAGGAGGGGGAGGAGGAGGAGGAGGAGGAGGAGGAGGAGGAGGAGGAGGAGGGAGGGAACGGGGAAGGGAAGGGACTCGGGAGGCTGGCTCCTGCGTCCTCCTCCCCCTCCCCTTCCCCCTTCCTTCTCCTCCAGCTCTCTTCCCCCGAATGCTTCGGCCACGTCTCGGGTCGGGCAAACGGGGGGGATAGCAAAGGGGGGGGGGAGAATCAGCTCGGCGACTATGTATCGAGGAATGGGCCCCTCGGTGGGGCCGAAACCAGCTGCATGTAGCAAATTTCGTAACCCCCCCTTTCCCAATCCCCCCCTTTCGTCCGGCCCGAAAGTCTTGGCCCTCGGGGAATCCGAAGACACCTTCGGTCTTTTGCTCGGAGAGGCGCGCCCGCCCCCGGCAGGCAGAGAGGCTCGGTCTCAAGGGCCGATCCTCCGGCTCCTGTGCGCTCCTGCGTGCTCCTTCCCCTCGTGCTCTTCCTTCTGCTGCGGCTCCTCCCCCCCGCTGCTCCTCCTCCTGCTGCTGCTCGTCCTCCTGCTCCTTCTGGTGCTCCTCCGCCCACGCCTGCAGGGCCAGACCCCGGTCAGCGATCCCAGCTTTCTGAGGCATTCGGGGTCAGGCTGCGCGTCCGAAGGAGCGACGCACACACCGGCGGAAACCCAGAAACAAGAAGAGCCGAAAGGGGGGGGAAATTAGGGTTGACAAGTAGCGATCCCAGACATCCTTCGATCATTTTTTTTTCAATCCGCGGCCCCAGAGCTCCCAACCCATTCCCTGGGGGCAGTTTTGCATCCCGGATACATTTCTGCTGGCCCCGGGGCCCAAAAAGGGCCCTCCGGGACCAAAATCGAGGAAAAGCGCCGGGATTGAAAGACTCACTTCGAGATCTGGGGTGTCGCCGACGCCGTCGGCGGGGAGGGGGGGCCGTGACCGGGCCGAACCTTGTCGACGTGCCCGCGGCCGCGCTCGGTGGAGTGGACCGCCAGGTTGGCGCCGGGCGAGTCCCACTTTGGCGCGAACCGTGCGACCAACATCACCGCGCTGTGGTTCTCGGGGGCCGCGTGCGCGAGAGAGACGCACGCGTGAGGAGAGGGCGGGTAGCGGCTCCACCACATATGACGGGGAAAGTAGACCACGAGGAGGACCCATGGATGCAAACAGCTGCAGACGCTCAAGGGAGCCATGACGGGAAACGAC